CCCGTCTCTACTAAAAATACAAAAAATTGGCTGGGCATGGCGGCACGTGCCTGTAATCCCAGCTACTCAGGAGGCTGAGGCAGGAGAATTGCCTGAACCCAGGAGGCGGAGGTTGCGGTGAGCCGAGATCACGCCATTGCACTCCAGCCTGGGTAACAAGAGCGAAACTCCGTCTCAAAAAAAAAAAAAAAAAAAAAAAAAAATAGATACATACAGAACATTTCATCCAACAACCGCAGAATACACATTCTATTCAACACAACATGGAACTTTCTCCAAGACAGACCATATGATAGGTCACAAAAAGAGCCTCAATAAATTTAAGAAGCAGCCGGGCGCGGTGGCTCAAGCCTGTAATCCCAGCACTTTGGGAGGCCGAGGCAGGTGGCTCACGAGGTCAAGAGATCAAGACCATCCTGGTCAACATGGTGAAACCCCGTCTCTACTAAAAATACTAAAAATTAGCTGGGCATGGTGGTGCGTGCCTGTAATCCCAGCTACTCAGGAGGTTGAGGCAGGAGAATTGCCTGAACCCAGGAGGCGGAGGTTGCGGTGAGCCGAGATCATGCCATTGCACTCCAGCCTGGGTAACAAGAGTGAAACTCTGTCTCAAAAATAAATAAATAAATAAATTTAAGAAAATTGAAATTATATATCAAGTACTCTCTCAGCCCATAGTGGAATAAAACTGGAAATCAACTTCAAAAGGAACCTTCAAAACCATACAAATACCTGGAAATGAAATAATCTGCTCCTGAATGAGCACTGGGTGAAAAATGAAATCACAATAGAAATTTTAAAAAGTCTTTAAATTGAACGACAATAATGAAACAACCTATCAAAACCCCTGGGTTGGCTAGGTGTGGTGGTTCATGCCTGTAATCTCAGTACTTTCGGAGGCCGAGGTGGGCGGATCACGAGGTCAGGAGTTTGAGACCAGCCTGACCAAATGGTGAAACACTGTCGCTACTAAAAATACAAAAATTAGTCTGGCATGGTAGCATGCGCCTGTAATCCCAGGTACTGGGGAGGCTGAGGCATGAGAATTGCTTGAATCTGGGAGGCGAAGGTTGAAGTGAGCCAAGATTGAGCCACTGCATTCTAGCCTGGGTTACAGAGTGAGACTCTGTCTCAAAAACAACAACAGCCGGGCGTGGTGGCTCAAGCCTGTAATCCCAGCACTTTGGGAGGCCGAGGCGGGTGGATCACGAGGTCGAGAGATCAAGACCATCCTGGTCAACAAGGTGAAACCCCGTCTCTACTAAAAACACACAAAAAATTAGCTGGGCATGGTGGCTCGTGCCTGTAATCTCAGCTACTCAGGAGGCTGTGGCAGGAGAATTGCCTGAACCCAGGAGGCGGAGGTTGCGGTGAGCCGAGATCGCACCATTGCACTCCAGCCTGGTTAACAAGAGCAAAACTCCGTCTCAAAAAAACAAAACAAAACAAAACAAAAAAACAACAACCACCACCACAAAACAAAACCAAACCCTGGGATTCAGCAAAGGTGGTGCTAAGAGGAAAGTTCATAGTCCTAAATGCCTACATCAAAAAGACTGAAAGTACACAAACTGACATTCTATGGTCACATCTCAAGGAACAAGAGAAACAAGAACAAGCCAAACCCAAACTCAGCAGAAGAAAGGAAATAATCAAGATCAGAGCAGAACTTAATGAAATTAAAACAAAAAAATACAAAAGATAAATGAAACAAAAAGCCAGTTCTTTGAAAAGATAAATAACATTGATAGACCATTAGCAAGATTAACCAAGAAAACAAGACAAAAAATCCAAATAACCTCAATAAGAAATGAAATGAGAGATATTACAATTGACACCACTGAAATGCAAAAGATCACTCAAGGCTACTATGAACACCTTTATGCACATAAACCAAATACTTACAGCCAACTGATCTTTGACAAAGCAAACAATAACATAAAGTGGGGAAATGACACCCTTTTCAACAAATGGTGCTGGGATAATTGGCTAGCCACATGTAGGAGAATGAAACTGGATCATCTCTCACCTTAAAAAAAAAACAAACTCAAGATGGATTAAGGACTTACATCTAAGACCTGAAACTATAAAAATTCTAGAAAATAACATTGGAAAAATCCTTCTAGACATGGGTTTAGGCAAGAACTTGATGACCAAGTACCCCAAAGCAAATGCAATAAAAACAAAGATAAATAGCTGGGACTTAATAAAACTAAAGAGCTTTTGTGCCGGGCGCGGTGGCTCAAGCCTGTAATCCCAGCACTTTGGGAGGCTGAGGCGGGTGGATCACGAGGTCAAGAGATCGAGACCATCCTGGTCAACATGGTGAAACCCCGTCTCTACTAAATATACAAAAAATTAGCTGGGCATGGTGGCGTGTGCCTGTAATCCCAGCTACTCAGGAGGCTGAGGCAGGAGAATTGCCTGAACCCAGGAGGCAGAGGTTGCAGTGAGCCGAGATCGTGCCATTGCACTCCAGCCTGGGTAACAAGAGAAACTCCGTCTCAAAAAAAAAAAAAAAGAGCTTTTGTACGGCAAAAGGAACAATCAGCAGAGTAAACAGACAACCCACCGAGTGGGAGAGAATCTTCACAATCTATACATCTGACAAAGGACTAATATCCAGAATCTACAATGGACTCAAACAAATCAGCAAGAAAAAAACCCAAAATATCCCATGAAAAAGTGGGCTAAGGACATGAATAGATAATTCTCAAAACAGGATATACAAATGGCCAACAAACATATGAAAAAATGCTCAACATCACTAATGATCAGGGAAATGTAAATGAAAACCACAATGCAATACCACCTTACTCCTGAAAGAATGGCTATAACAAAAAAAAATCAAAAAAACAGTAGATGTTGATGTGGGTGCAGTGATCAGGAGACACTTGTACACTGCTGGTGGGAATGTAAACTAGTACAGCCACTATGGAAAACAGTGTGGAGACTCCTTAAAAAACTAAAAGTACTACAAAAACGGTACAGTGTATACTGCTCAGGTGATGGGTGCACCAAAATCTCACAAATCACTACTAAATAACTTACTCATGTAACCAAACACCACCCATACCCCAGTAACTTACAGAAAAATAAAAAATAAAATGGAAGTGAATAATCATAAAAGTATTCATCTTCATTTTCTTCTCATTGAGAAGGCTGAGGAGGAAAAGAAAGAGGAGGGGTTTGTTTTAGTGTCCAAGGGGTGGTAGAGGCAGAAGAAAATCCACATATAGGTGGACTTATATAATTCACATCTATGTTGTTCAAGAGTTGACTGTCCTTTCTGTTTTTTTTTTTGTTTGTTTGTTTGTTTTAAGATTGGGTTTCACCATGTTGGTCAGGCTGGTCTTGAACTCCTGACCTCAGATAATCCACCCACCTCAGCCTCCCAAAGTACTAGGATTATAGGCCTGAGCCACTGCACCCGGCTTGTCCTTTCTGTTTCAATAAATCTGTCTATTCTGGACATTCCATATAAACGGAGTAATACTGTATGTGGTCTTTTGTGACTGGCTTCTTTCATTTAGCATAATGTTTCCAAGGTTCATACATATTGTAACATGAATCAGAAATTTTTTATTGCTGAATAGTATTCCATCGTATAGATATACCATTTTTATTCATTAATTCATTAATCTAACAGTTTTTAAGCTAGACTTTCCTCTAATCTGCTAATTTTCACTCAGTTTCAACCTCACTTTAAGAACCTCATTACCAATTCCTAAGACTGTGGGAGTTCTTCAGGGTAAATTGGGCTGTTCTCAGCTTCCCAAACACTGTTATAAAATTTGGCACTCTCAGGTCTTCTAATTCAGTTATCATTTGTCCCAGTGCTTTCAGGCATCCAAAATTTTGTTTTTGCATTCTCCTTTCGTCTTTGTCCCTGTGGTTTATGCCTTTTTTTGTGTTTCAAAATCCCTTTAATTACTCTTTAAAATAACTTGAGAATAAGGGTTAATGCATGCATTTTACCTGTATCTTTAAAATTTCTAATATTAACCTCTAATAATAACAGTCGGTTTTAATCTGATTTATAAAATCAATACAAATGTATAAAATTACTACTTTTATGATATGCCAACATCATAAAAAAACTATAAACAGTGAACTTAGACAAATACACGCAAACATGAAGCTGTAAATGACACACAATGTGGCTCTGGTTTTCATTTTAGACAAGCATGATGGACAGAAATCTCTCTTGTTCCTTTTTGATCCTTCCACTGCCACTGGTCATCTACTGATCTTTTTCTGTCACACACATTGCCCCATATCCCACACTTTCCTTTATCAGTAAGTCCTATAAAGAATTTCATATAGGCATACCTTGGAGATATTGCAGGTTTGGTTCCAGACCACTGCAATGAAGCTAATATTGCAATAAACTCAGTCATATGGAATGTTTTGTTTCCTAGTGCATATAAAAGTTATGTTTATACTATACTGTAGTCTATTAAGTGTACAATAGCATTATGTCTAAAAATGTACATACTTTAAAAATACTTTAATGCTAAAAATGCTAATGATAATCAAGTCTTCAGAAAGTCATAATATTGCTGGTAGAGGGTCTTGACACTGATGGCTGCTGACTGATCAGGGTGGTGGTTGCTGAAGTTTAGCATGTATATTCGTTGGGGTTCTTCAGAGAGACAGAACCAATAGGGTAGAAAGATAAATGAGAGGGGATTTATTAGGAAGATTGGTTTACATGATTATGAATGCCGAGAAGTCCCACAATAGGCTTTCAACCTGGAGACTCTGAGATGCTGGTAGCATGGCTCAGTCCAAGTGTACAGACCTCAGAACCAGGGAAGGGGATGATGTAACTCTCCAGATGAAGTCAGAGACCTGAGAACAGAGAAGGCCACTAGTTCTAGTCCTCGAGTCCAAAGACTGGAGAGTCTGAAGCTATTATCCAAGGATATGAGAGGAGAAGTGTATTTCAGCTCCAGCAGACAGCATAACATTTGCCTTTTCTGTTTTGATTTCTCCAGGCCCCTGGAGGATTGGATGGTGTCTGCCCATATGAAGGGTGGATCTTCCCCATCTCGTCCACTCTCCTCTAGAAAAACCCTTACAGACACACCCCAAAATAACTTTTAGAGGTTTCTATATTTCCTTAATCCAGTCAAGTTGACACCTGAAATTAACTATCATCACAGGGCGGCTGTGGCCATTTCTTTTTTCTTTTTTAACAGTTCAGAATTCATCTTTATCTTCTACCTGCCTCATCAGTGGAAGTTTAAAGTCATGAATTTTTTAGACATTGATACCTGTGTACATAGACAAATAAACTCATAATAGATAACTAATTTTTTTAAGTCCTGGTAGAGAAAGAAACAATCATTTTGAACTAAAATCTTTCTATGTTTTTTGATTACTATTCAACTTATTGTTTAGCAAAAAGCAGTTTCCATAGTGTTCATCTCAAATCTTATTGCTGTTACAGTGATCGGTGATCAGTGATCTTTAATGTTACTGTTGTAATTGTTTTGGGGAGCCATGGGCAGCACCCATATAAGATGAAATTGATCAACAAGTGTGTGTGTTCTGATTGCTCTACCAGCTGGCTCCTCCCACTGACTGGCTGCTCCCCCATTTCTCTCCCTCTCCCCAAGGTTCTCCCTATTCCCTGCAATACAACAATATTAAAATCAGGTCAATTAATAACCCTACAGTGGCAACTAAGTGTTCAAGTAAAGAAAGAGTTGCACATCTCTCACTTTATTTATCTATTTAATTCTTTTTGAGACAGAGCCTCACTCTGTCGCCCAGGCTGGAGTGCAGTGGAACAATCTTACCTCACTGCAACCTCCACCTCCCTGGTTCAAGTGATTCTCCTGCCTCCCAAGTAGCTGGGATTAAAGGTGTGAGCCACCACACCCAGCTAATTTTTGTATTTTTAGTAGAGATGGGGTTTCACTATGTTGGTCAGGCTGATATCAAACTCCTGACCTCAGGTGATCCACAGGCTGGGCATGGTGGCTCATACCAGTAATCCCAGCACTTTGGGAGGTCAAGGTAAGAGGATCCCTTGAGCCCAGGAGTTCAAGACCAGTCTGGGCAACACAGTGAGAGCCTCAACTCTTTTAAAAAAGAAGTTAAACAAGGTATGCCTTTAATTGCAGAGCATTCCCAATTGATCAGCCCATCTCTTCTCCTTTAAGTAGGCTCTTTGTAACAGTCTATGGTTCTAGCTATGCATATTCACAGTTTCCTCTTGAATGATTCTACCTTCCAATGAAACATAGTGAGATCTGCTTAACTCTAAGATCCCATAAAAATGACTTCGGTATATGCCTTTTGCCTGGCAACAGCTTTTTCAGTTGTTGTTGCTGCTGCTGTGTAATACAGCAGGTTACACAGACTACCCGTTTTTTGTTAAAGAGAATGACTTCCAAATTCAGTAGGTGCTTCTTGAAAAGAGTTCTCCATGATGGAATAATAACTGATTCCGATATTTTTAATTCTTATGTATGTGACATATGACATGCAACATGAGACACAGTTTCTATATTTTATATTTGTTTGTTCTGCAATCTTTTCATAGATGGGATTAGGTTGCACATTACCTTAGTTCTATCTGAATTATATGTAATATGTTGTAAATTAGAATAATCCACTGCAAGATGATTTTAAGCTTGGCTCTGCCCCGGCAGGTAATAATTATTTTATTACAGCATTCTGTTTCTAGTCACTCTGCATAGTGTTGACTCTTAGTTTGAAGTCACACCTTATGCCTGCGGTTCAGTATGCATCTTTGGGCCTCAGTGTCTTAGAAAAACTTAGCTTAGTGGACTGGATTTACAGACCTGGGGAGGACATGGAAATTTCAAGTTTCTCATCCAGAATCTTCTTCCAACTTGCTGTGTGGCCTTCCAGGCATCATTTCATACTTGCTCAGTCATTTCTTCATTTCAGCGTGGAAATGGAGCCTATTAGCTTCTCAATGACATTGTAAGAAAGGGGAGAACAGTGATCAATAAGCAAACAAACTGAAAAATGTCAAGATCCCCTCAGTAGTTCTGACCTCTGGTGAAAAAACGAACAAGGCAGTACCGGAAACGCAGCGTGTATATAGCCAAGACCAAAGGCTTGTTGTTGTCATTAAGAAAAAGGGACAATGTCTGATTTTAACATTCACACACTCCAAACCACAGTATTCCAAGCTTCTGTCCTGCAGCCAAGACTGATGGTAGCAGCCAGGTCTAGATGGAAGTTTCCAGAAAGCAGATTTTGGCAAAGGTTGCCTTTAAACCTGCAGAGAATTCCAGTTTTTTGTTTTATTTTTCTTAAGGACATTTTCATTTCTTTTGCCACAGAATTTCATGGACTATGTTTATCTTTCCTTTTCAGGTCACAGTATATAGACTTTTCACAGTCAAATGTGAGTAGTAGACATATTTCTTGAGTGTTTTTTCATTCTTTCCTTACAAAATTCTTTCAACTTGGAGGTGGAGCCAAATTCTAAGATTATATTTTCAGAGAATCATTTTTCTTATGTGATCATTAAATTACCTCAGAGAAGGAACGAAATATTAAAGTTCACTCTCTTGACTGCTTTGAGAAGAGGCTCACACGTGCCAAGTGAAAGTAATAATTATTTATTTTAATTACATTCCCTGGACAAACGGCCCCCGTGGTCCAGAGTGCTGGCACCCAGAGATGGCAGAGAGCCCTGGGTCTGGATAGTTTTGTAAACCAAAAAAAAAAAAAAAAAGAAAAAAAAAAGAAAAGGAAAAAGAAAAAACCACTGCAAGTGCACTGGTTTTAGAGGAATGTTCAAGAAAATTGCCCTTCTTCTCCTCACAACATGTGATTATAGAAAAATAGAAGTCCCTGCATTCCAGTCTGATTTTCATTTAACTCTGCAAGCCTGTAAATTTTGCCATGAGGTAAGGGGCTGATTCAGAGCTCCAGGATCCTTTTGGTGCCACAGACACTATTTCAAAATGCATATGCCTTCGGATTTCTCAGTGTTATTCTGCCAGGGTCATGGAATAAATGGAACTCTGTCTGATGAGAACTCTCAGTCCTGGTAAACAAGAACCGGGATGCCTGGTGGTCAAAGTAGCTGCCTTGTGTTTTAAAGGTTAGGAGTTCAAATCTTGTGGGTTTGTGCTTGGGTTAAAGTATGCTCATATCTAGGTTGAAGAAGCAATAATGTTGCACAACAGAATCTGGCTTACCCACAACTAAGTTCTGGTTACAATTAATTAAATACATACTTTCTATGGAATTCTTCACCTTGTAGATTGTGGACAAAAAAATCTACATTCCAGAGGGCACAGGAAAGCTTTACTTTCCAAACTTCCTGCACTGTACAGTGTCTCTAGACTTGAATTCCACCACATAGGCATGGAGTTCATATTTGTCACATTCCTTAAATTCTGATAGACCTATAGCCCTAGGCCTCCTTTCTCCTCTTAATTTTCTTTTCTCCTGATTTTCCAGGGAGATAATAACTTACAGTTTTTTTTTTTTTTTTTAAACAGAGTCTTGTTCTGTCACCCAGGCTGGAGTGCAGGGGTGCCATCTTGGCCCAATGCAACCTCCGCCTCCCTAGCTCAAGCAATTTTCCTGCTGCAGCCTCCCAAATAGTGGGGATTACAGGTATGCCCACCATGTCCAGCTAATTTTTGTATTTTTAGTAGAGACGGGGTTTCACCATGTGGGCCAGGCTGGTCTTCAACTCCTCACCTCAGGTAATATGCCCACCTTGGCCTCCGAAAGTACTAGGATTAGAGGCATGAGCCACTGGGCCTGGCCTAATTTACAGTTTTGAAGACACGTTCTTTGCATAGATGACCCATTGGAAATAGGCCCCAATGATAGAAAATATAACTTGTATTAGGGCCTGTAATTGTAGTGGTCCAATCTTTGTAATGCCTTGTTTCTATAGCATTTCAATGTTTATGAAACATATATATGATCTCTTTTTATACTTAGTGTCTTCGAGTAAAGTAAATATTTTTCCCATTTTGTGGACCAAAAAAATGAGAACCAGAGAGGTTAAAAGCTTGTTTAAAAGTATTCAACCGGCCGGGCGCGGTGGCTCAAGCCTGTAATCTCAGCACTTTGGGAGGCCGAGGCGGGTGGATAATGAGGTCAAGAGATCAAGACCATCCTGGTCAACATGGTGAAACCCCGTCTCTACTAAAAATACTAAAAATTAGCTGGGCATGGTGGCGTGTGCCTATAATCCCAGCTACTCAGGAGGCTGAGGCAGGAGAATTGCCTGAACCCAGGAGGCGGAGGTTGCGGTGAGCCGAGATCGCGCCATTGCACTCCAGCCTGGGCAACAAGAGCGAAACTCCATCTCAAAAAAAACAAAAAACAAAAAAGTATTCAACCAAGTTAATGTCAGAGCCGGTACTTGAACTCAGGCCTCTACAAGTCTAAATGTTTTCAATGATAGTAGAATTGCCTCTAATGGCAAAACATTGTTGTAGAAGCATATTGATGTTCCAGATTTTGTTGCCAGTCCTACTTCATTGAGCTACGCTTGGTAATGCCACTGCCATCTTGGAAAGAAAATACTTGCTGAAGTTCCCCATAGGTGCTGAACACTCGGGAAGTGCCAATAGTTGCATTGAATTTATTAAACACCCACAAATAAAGGAAAATAACTAACCCGTTGTGCCCCCATCTAAGAATCCCTGAAATTAGAAACAGCCCAGTATTGTGACCTGAGGTTGCCTCAGCAGGAAGTCTGTTTTTTAAATTAGGACTCCAGCCATTTTCTTTCCAGTAGTTCTTATTGCCAATGGGGCTTTGAGCAAATAGTTCCCAGGAAAGCTATCTTTATCTACTTGAGATGAAGACAATAATGATACCTGCTTCCTGTCTACCTGGCAAATGTGTTGGGAAAAGCAACAAGATCATGTCTGTCATGTGCTTTGAATGCCTAGAGAGAAAGATAGGGTTTATGAGCAAGGGTGTAATTATATTGAGTCAGCCATGATATCATCGTCTATATTATACATATGTGATCGTTGCCTAACACACTGCTGAACATAATTTGGCTCTCATGTTTGATGTTTTAAGGACATGGTGATATTACAGTAAGTTAGCAGAAGACCGTTAAGTTAGGAAAGGAAGGCAT